ATACTTAAAGTAAATTCTCTTTTGAGTACAAGGGAAAAGCACAATTCTTCAAGAAATTTGTAAAGGAGGCAGGAGAGATGATTTCAAAAGTTTCAGAGTGTGGAGTCCAATTCCTATTTATATGGCATAATTGAACCAGTGTAATATAACAGTGCATATTTATGTCTTTGGTTACCATGTTGCACAGAATGCTGAAGAATAATTGCTGACAAAAACGGAATATCATGGGAGAAAGAGAGTCAACCCTCTGAAATCAATGTAATTTTACTCTTTCAGGAATTGTCAGTAGACATTGTTATCAGTCCAACAGTAACAGTATTAAGACAGTAATTTTGCAACTTTTAACTATTTCATCAATTTAACACAAAATTTCAAAGCATGATCAGTCTGATGAACAGTGGATTACATGAATATTCAATACTCAACGAAGTTATATCAGGCTTTTCACCCATATCTCTGTATATATTATACCCTGGAACCTAAATTAAAATATTCATAGCTCACTGGAGAAAAATGAAAAATTGATTAACTTAGGTATTTGGGGAAAATGTGTAATCAGAGAAATGAGAAAGATTCAGTCTAGCCTGGGAATGGATTGCTGAGAAGTGAGAGTAAGGAGGAGGTGCCCGAAGCATAACTCCCATGACACACTGTGGTGGCACTACTAACTGCACTATTTGCTTTCTCATATAAAAGGACTTCAATAAAAGGGAAAAAAAATAAAAGGAAATGGAGATTTGGAGTAGGAGTTAAGATTGTTTCTTATGGCCTTTTTTATCCAAACCTACTTCTATAAAACAATTTCCAAATAGTTATAGATATGTGTATCCTAAAATTTTGGATTTTCAGTTGTTTTAACTGTTGGTGTGTTGATGCATACATGTTGTGTTTACTTTATAGTAATGTAAATATAGAATCTATTTTTTTCATGAGAAGGGTTAAGAGAATTCCAAAGTTCTGGAAATGTAACGGTGGTGCTTTAATGGGAAAAAAAAATAAAAAGAGAAATGATACTTCAGATTATTCTGTTGAAATGCTACTTTTAAGCTTTCTGTGATTTGAGGATCATGATTCCCCAGGGTACTGAGATGGTGTTGCTGTTTTGAACTCCAAAGCATCAAAAAAAAGCTCTGCCATACATGCATACCTCATATGGAGAAGATGCACAGAATGACACTTTCACAGTTTTAGACCCCAGAACTTTAAAGCACAATGGGTGACACCCAGGAAGTTTCAACAGATTTGTGCCTCCTTAAAATGTGGCAGAAATTTGTTGCATATTAAGAAATTCTTCTGATTCAGACAATAATCTAGTTGCTGCTGTGTTTGGGTTCCTTTCTGTATCAGTAAGCTCTTTGGTACTACTCAGTCAACTTCTCAAGGATTCCCTAAAGTGCACAACCTCACAAATCTAAAACATTGAGTCCTTGAACGACTAAATGAGATAAGCTTTGAAGTAGAGAGGATGCTCAAAATGATCTAATGTGTAAAGCACCATCTGCCTGTTATTTTTGAATTCTTTTCTGATATCCTTTGCAGCAGAGGTGGTCTCCAGGACTTTCAACAGTTGAATACACCATCAAGTTTTGAGCATCACTGTGCTGACCAAACACAATTAACCCCCTTGACTTATTTTTAATCTCAGGAAAAGAGATGCTGAGAATTCACAATGCCTGGGAAATTCTGCTGCAGTGTCTGACTACATTCATGATTTAAATGTGCTTTGAATTCCTTTGCCTGTCTGTCCTGCTGCTTTGCTTGAGCTTGTCCCTTAACCTGACATGATAGAAATTAATTTGAGTTATCAGTTTTCTGCCCAGGATGTCAACCTAAACTGCTGATGGCCAGACTGTTGTAGGGGTAAAGCAGGTTAATCACCATATCTAAAATCAAATCTAAGATTTTGAGTATCTTTAGCCAGTTTGCTACATGAAACATTTTCTGGATGACCACCCCCAGAATTATTCCTCTTGGAGTTTTCATCCTTGTATTACTACTGCTAGGTTTAGCTGAAAAAAAAAATTAAAAAAACATTAAAAAATTCAGAGACATAAATATATTTAATGGCAAGATTGAGCATCTTGAATTTTCTTAAATTCATTTTGTGTTTATTTCTATTCCAAAGACATATGACTGATAACTGCAATATTGAGAGTTCCTTATTATAATTCCCAGTACCTTGTACTGCAGGAACATTAGCAGAATTGTTCTCTCCTTCTGTTTGGTGATTACAGCTTTTGTGTTCGGTGTTATCCATATGCTATGATGGTAGTTTTATGACAAAGTAAATAGAGGTTTATGTATCTGTTCTTCCATGAATCTGCCATTTACCTGATTGTTTTGTTATCTCCAGTGCCTCACAGTTGTGAATTGACCTGATTTATAGGCCTGGACAGGCCGTCTAAATCACATGCTGAGAGAAGGGAAAGATAAACTGAGCTTCCGAAATTGACTTGCACTAATGAATAGTTATAAATATTTTCTCTAGCTAAGAATGTTTAAAAATAAAAGGGAGAGAGTGACAGATCTGCAAAGAGGTTGGCTTTTTTTCCTTATAGTAGCTTCTCTTCTGCATTGGGGGAAATGTGATATGAAGATGACTTGAAGTTGAGGTGATTTAGGAAATTAACTGTTGAAAGGGTTAAAATTCCTATTATACAGTTCTTTGTGAAGCAGTACAAGGTACAGATGTAGGAAACAGGTAGAAAAAGTAAGTAAAGGAGTATCTGAGAAACAGATGACTGCTGAGTTCTACTGAAAAAAAAAAACCAAAAAAAATTATCCAAGCTCAGTTGAGCCTGATCCAGGGAACTTGAAGATAATACATCAGGAACATAAAACATGGTAAGAAAGTAAAGAAGATTTTCAACACTGAAGTTTCTGCCTTGTCAGTTTCCAAGAAAAAGAAAATGGAAGCAGACCAATGGCAAAAAATATGGTTCAAAACATACCATATATTTGTCCCTTTCATATTACCTCTGGGGAAAAGAAAAAAAAAAAGAAAACAAAAAAGGCAGCAATTAGGTGATCGCAGATTTTAATGGCAGGAAAAATGGCAATTAGTTTCTTCCTGAGGAAAAAAAAATCAGTCCTTTAAATTCCAGTTACATAAGAATATGGGTAATTAGACTACTGAAGAACTCTGTGACAGAAAGTGGGCACTAGAAAATATCTATGAAATATGATTCTCATTCATAGAGCTTTCTGAACTATTGAACACCCACAGAGCAAAATTAGCTGCAGATTGGTTTTTCTATATCATGGAAATAATAGAAAATAGGACTAGAGGGAAGTGCAAGTGTCTACCTCATGTAACCTGTATTCTCAGGCATATGAATGAGAGCTAAAACTTTCTGGTAGACTAGCACAGCCCATAAAATGTGATAAACGTGTTTGGGGGATTTGGGGGTTTTGTTTATTTTTATTTTCTCTCCCAGTAGTACAGAAGGATGTGTTCCCAACTGTATGCAAAAATCCGTGTTCTTAAAACATGTAATACCACCTCAGCGCACTCTATTTCATTTCTCTGTGTATTTATTTCAGCATAAACCAATGTAGCATTTGAATTGAAATTCTGTTGCACAGCAAAAAGTTGTTTCAGGGAGGAAAGAATTCAGTTAATTAAACTTTTCTCACCAGGTGTTCCTTATGGCAGGATTTCGAAAATTTTGTGTGTTTCTTCGACACCTATTCAATCACAGAGGGAATGGGAGGAAAACAGCACCCATCTCTGCTCTTTGCATTTTAGAGGAACATTTCTGCAGTGAGGGGAGCATCCACGACAGAAGAATCTGCTCGCAGCGTGTGTTCCTGCTAAGTGTGACACGAGTATCTGTCCTTAAATGTATTCAGAGAGACAGAAATGTTCTGCATTGTATCTCTATCTGTATTCAACATATGGAGCATTTGTCTGTATCTGAGTAGAGAAAAACAACAACAAAAAAAAAAACCCTCACAACGAAAGCAGCAGCGCGATGGAGGCTGACGCCAGTCTTGAGCTTTGCGTTTTTATACTCACACGTTGGAGGTTACCCTGCCCTCACCTTCGGGTCATTTTTCCGGGCTTTACGGCTCAGGAGCTGTGGGCAGGGAGCCCGAAGGAGATGTGGGCTCCCGGGCAGCCACGGAGGGCAGGGCAG